AACTCTCGAGAAAAATGTTGATTGCAGTACAAAAAATGGGTAGCTATTTGGAGATAGTGATTTTAAGTGACTGTTTTCAGTTGTGTGTGTGTGTGAGGTTGCATCGTGTGTTAGTATACAGGGACTTAAGGGAAATAGATTTATATAAATAATGTCCATCGAAATTTATTTTACTTTTTTATTTTGATTATTTCAGGTTAATGTGAAATTTCTTTTAAAACAAGATTTTTTTCCATTTAACACAAAGGAAATCAACACACCCAAATTAACAACGTATGTTTTGGGAAGGTTTTTGGGGGGGTGGTGGGGGAGTCAACTCTGATACCAAAGTCAGGGCTCTGAAGCTCAAGCCTGATAAAGGTGTTAGGTTATATTCCCTCTTGCTGAGAGCTCTACCCAGAAGGGCACCGTGTGAAAGGAAGGAACTTTCTGAGAGCAGGCGATGCACTGAGCCGTGATGAGGTTTATCTCCAGGGAGAAAATCGCCCTTCTCCAGCCCTGTAGGACACTCCAGGTAGTTAGGAAACAGGTCTTAAATAATAGTTACTGAGTAGATGAACAGAAGTGGTCCACAGTTCTCCCAAGCGTCTGGACCCTTTCATGTTTGCATTTTAAAAATAAATTCTTTATTTTGGGTATTGGTTTAAAAATATCTTTGTACAAGGCTCACATCTATGGAACATTCATATAGAGAGGAAACTCAGAGATTTAGGCTATTTCATTTGACATTTTCTACTACATACTTCATTTCACCCATTTGGGTCTCTAAAACTACATTATGAAATACTTTAATTATTTAAATTAGGAACAGATTCATTATCTCCAGTGTACAAACTCAAATTAATTTCATTTAAATTGATTAATCTTGGAGTGTGTAAGGAACCAAGAGGGTTTTTTACCCTTAAGGGGAAGGGCTCTCTTTCCATGTAGCGGTTATGCTAATAAGCACAAGGAATTTACAAGAAAACTTTAGATGGCTTTTATAAACCAACCAGAAACCTGTGTGTCTGGGGCTTCAAGGGGAACAATCTGTGAGTCATTTTAAAAAACAAACACACTCATAATCACGGTGCGTGTTGTTACCATGGTAATTAGGCCTGTGGAATTGGCTTGCGTTTGTTCCAGCCAAGGGAAGAGGGGAGAGAAGCTGCGAATTCAGAGCTTTGACTACCAGCTTCAGTTTGCCTACGGCAGGAGAGAACTAAGGGGAGCCCTGAGGATACACTGGCACAGTCATTTTGAGAAGGAAGTGAAGAAACTCCACTGCCTTTGTAACCGAATGTGAGTTAGCCCAGCTAGGGGTGGGCACTGCGGTTCCCAGGGGAGAAGGCACCGTTTGGCATTCTCTTGGGAAGACAGGAGAGGGTGGCCGGCTCCTCTACCTGCCATATGATTCCACGTGAGTCTCTTCAGTTCAACATCGTGGATTGTCACGTGGGCCGTGCACAGGGCTGTAACGGTCCTCTGACAGCCATGCCACTGGCAGAACGTGACTGTGGGTTTAAATGGTCCTCGGTGTGCTATTCTAATGTGGTTAGAGACCAGTTTTAATGAGGCCATTGTTTTGGATCAGATTTCCAAGTAGACCAGGTGCTTTTTCTCTGTTTTAGGGACTGACTCCTTTCTCTGAACAGTCACCTTGTAATGAGGTCCCCAACACAAAGGAGGCCAGGGAGGTTGTGTGAGCTCTGCAAGTCTGTTACTACCCCAGGGGAAAATGAAATCAGAGCACACACTTGGTAGTTCTTGTGCCAGTGGGATGTAGGAGTGATCCATTAGGATTCTCTGTGAAGAACAAACACCACCCCTAAAGGTAGGAGTGTATTTATAAGTCTGTTTTTAAAACTGTTTCTACATCCACTGTAGGAAGCCTGGGTAGTCTGCTCAATGGATAATTATAACGTACTGACTAAAGGTTTGTTGTTTAGAGTATATATCACAACCAGATTTTAAAGCAGGTTTTATTTTATTTATGGTTGAAACAACTTTTCCTTATTAAAACTATTTTTCAGCAGGCTTGGAGAAAAGTGCCATGAGGTGTGATTAAAGTGTTGTGCAAACTCAGAGGCTGTGTTTGTTGTGCGCGATGTGTGCCCGGCTTATGATGGAGTAACTACTTTTAAACTACAGAATTCACTTTTCCTTTTATGTCTGGAAAAAGTGCATATGTTGCCCCAACTTCATTCTGTGCTTAATTTTTTTTTAATATTAGTAAATAAAAATTAACCTAATTTTTTTCCTGATTGGTGAATAATCCATGCTGATTATTGAAAATCTGGAAAGTATCGAAAATTATAAATGAAAAGTAAGAACAGCCCTGTCCATTAATTAAGTTCTTAGTTAAGGTGTGTGTAACAGAGACCTGATTTCATAGTGGCTGACAATGTAGAAGTGGGTGGCCCAGGACTGGTGAGGTGGCCCTGTCCCATGGGTTGTGGAGGGACCCAGGTTCCTATTGTCCTGTTGTTCTATCATTTTTCTCATGAGTTTTGGCTTTCATTGACTAGGGTAACTTGCCATAAGGGCTCCACTAGGACTAGCAGGAAAGGAGAAAGTTAGATGGGGAGGGCATGACCCACTATGTGTATGATAGCAAATATCATCCTATTGAACTTGGTTAGATGGCCACATATCTAGCAGCAAAGGAAGCTGGGAAAAGTGCCTGTTCTTGATGCGTACGTCCTTAGCTTAGCATTCTACTAAAAGCATGACAGGGCTTGGCGCCTGTGGCTCAAGCAGCTAAGGTGCCAGCCACATACACCTGAGCTGGTGGGTTCAAATCCAGCCTGGGCCCGCCAAACAACAATGACAGCTACAACCAAAATAAATAAATAAATAAAAGCATCACAGATGAGGAGAACAGATAGTGGGGGCATATCTAGCAATTTCTGCCACCTCCATTATGCTGTAAAACAGAGATAATATGCTATTCATAATTTGATGTATTTTCTTCCCGTCTTTTTCTAGAAAAGACTATCAAAAAGATGTTAGGTATCATGTATACTAGACAATACTGTCTGTACATAATAGATGGTGTCTGTGACACAGACGTGATATATTTTAAAATGTTGAAAATATACATTAGAAAAAATATGTATATGAAAATACATATTGGAAAATTAGTCAAGGTCACACTATGTTAGATGTTTTTTCTTCTCTTTTCATGACGTATACAGTCTTCTAATCAGTTAAACCTTTTGCATTTGTTGTTTTGAAGTTCTATCGGGTGGAGTTTCTGTTTTACTTCGGAGGTTGCACTAGTGGTATTTACACTATTTCTGACATCTTCATAAATCATTCTTTGTCTACAATTTGGATTTTTTGTGATTAAAGTCAAGGCATGGCACCACTAAAACAATGACAAGGGACACATTTGAGTCTCTTGACAGTAGAACTTCTGTGAGGTGCCCACCAAGGGACTGTAATCCACCAGTCAGCACACGGAGGTGGTCACCATAGGGAACTAGACCTGCTGTGCTGATACGTACACTGGTGCATGTCTGGTCTATGAAAATTAGGTCTGCTTAAGGAGCTAGTCAGTGTCGGGAGGTGGTCCGTAGTGCCAAACTGCTTCTAGAGAGGTTGTACCAATTTCTGTACGCTGTCCCCAGTGACGTGTGACCGTGCTGGACTCAGAGCACCCAGCACAGCCCTGTAGTGCCAGTCCCATCTCATCCCTGTTAGCCCTGGGGCTCATTCTCTGAAGGTAGATTGGTTTTTGCCCTTGGCTTTTTTTTTTTTCTTTTTGCTGTCATTTAATCATGAGAAATTCATTTTCTAATAACTTTAGTCCATTTAAAAACACAGCCACTTGCAGTGGTCTGGGAGCATCACTGGTTGGTGGAGATCGCAGCGCACACCAGTCTCTCGTGGGGTCATGGAGGCACTGCATGCACTTTGTGGACTTGAGTTGCACCCTTAGTTAGGATACTCTGGGTGTGAGATAATCTCTTTGTTCTAAGACACTTTAAACTTTGAGTGGTGACATGTTCCATGAGACGTTAGCAGTTCCTTTTGAGCTGGGTGCTCCATAGCTTTTCAGGAATCAAAATCCCCTCTACATAAGAACTTTCTTAGATATGAGCCACACCAGGCATGAAACAAAATTGGGCCAATTCTGCTCAGCATCCACTGAGGGCATTGGTGGGTCAGGGCGTTGGTGTCTTTCTACTTCTTGTTGGGGTTTTTTTGGTTTTTTTTTTTTTTTAAGGAACAGTCTCAATTTGTTGCTCAGGGTGGCGTACAGGGGCATGATCATAGCTCACTGCAATCTTGAGCTCCTGAGCTCCCGGATCCTCCAAGTAGCTGGGATTCTAGGCATGTGCAACCATGCCTGGAATTTTTTTTTTAATTTTTAGTTTTTTTGTAGAGAAACAGTCTTGTTCTATTGCTGGTCTTGAACTCCTGGCCTCATGAGATCCTCCTGCCTTGGCCTCCCAAAGTGCTGCAATTATAGGCACAGGCCAGTGCCCCTGGCAATGTCTACTTCCATGCCCCCTGTAGATGTTTGGATGTCACAGACCTCTCACACCTGCTAACTTTTCCTTTCCCACCTCTTTAAGGGCCAGATGCACACAGATCATGTGTGCTCTGATTCTGTCCCTGACACTCGGAGCAGGTGATTTTTGTCCTGCTAGGAGCAAATCAGGTTAGATCAAGAGGACAGCTTGTTCTTATTCAGCCCTCTGTCACCAAGAACTCTGCTTTCCCTCCGTTCTCAAAGGTCCTCTGTGTTTTTATGTTTTCTTGCAGGGTAAGGAATTTCACAAAAAAGGGACCCCTATTTCTCTGATCCATGTCTTAAAAGAAAAATTGTTAACAGGATGTTTCTGGGCTCCAAATCTTAAGCCTGCGAGATGCCCCCCACCCAACCCTTGTGACAACACTCTTTACCACCAGCCCTCGTTACAGAACCGGTTAGATATTCTGCTCATCCTGCTTTTGGGAGTCAGGCTATTTCTCCTTTTAAGAAATCATTTTCCTGTCTGCTTTCTCAACAGCCAGATCCACCAGTGAGCATCAGGCTTTGGGAACTAAAGAGGTAAGAATTACAAAATATTTTCTTCTGGAATCCTCTTGATTCTAAGCAGAACTTCAAGAGGAAAGAAACTAAGTGGTCTCCCAGGTGCACACGCTTAAATGTGTGATGTTTTATTGAGAAGAAATAGTCATTGCACCTTTACCAATATTGGCGTCACTAAAGGATTTAAAGAAAAAAGATGGTTCTCCTTAACGATAAGTAAGGTCGAATTTTCACCCCAATTTTTCCATCTTTTTTCTGCTAAGATTCTGAGTTGGAGAGGATTTGAGGTCACTGCCTTAACAAAATGTGTCCCCGTGGCACCAGACAAGATTAGTGTGGGTTGCAGATGCCGAGGGTACAGACTGTGCAAGATTAGGGCAGAGAGGGCTGAACGCTGACTTTAACAGATTGGTGGTAAACGTGGTAAGGACTTTGACAGCAGCAACAGCAATAACAACAAAAGGTCAATCTAATGCTGTCAGGGTTTCTAAGTGAGACGCTCACTTAGGTTTCAGACTAGCTAAAGCCATCGGAGTCTGGTTGTGGAGTTGAAAGGTCACCACAATCCAGAGACAGGTGATGCTGCGTTTGTCCCCAAGGTGATCAACCTTGAAACCAGGATACACAGTTTCCTCTAGTCAATGACTTGGTGCCCCCTCCTCCCCTGCCCTGCCAGTTTTAAAACAGAACCTCATCTTGAAAAACTTAACGCAGGTACCAAAGTAGAGAGAATAATAGAATGAACTCCCACAGCCCTGTCCCCCAGCCTCAGCAATCACCACCCTGGGCAGTTTCATCTTCTTCTCCACCCGCTTCTCCTCTTTCCCTACTGGGTGACACAGCAGCTCATTGAATTTGATTATTAGATTTTTAATTCTTTGTTGGACTGTTTAGTGGCTACAGCAAGATGGTAAAGAGAAAATAAAGCCTACTCGTCACCTTACTTGGTGCACTGATGCTAGTCACTTGCCCACTGTTCATTCCGCACATGGCTGGCTCTTAGCGGGTCTCAGACCTTCCTCAGGCTGAGAGGGACAGTTTTCCACAGCTCACATGTGTGAGGGCCTTGAATTTGGACTTTGGATATCTCCAGATGAG